AACTTGATCCATCCATCTATGGTTCACAAGAGTCAGCACTCGGGGAGGAACATTTAATAGGCCATCTTGAGGGAATGTCCGTACAACAGGTATGTATATTGTATGCAAATCTTCCGTTACGTGCGCATAGTACAAGAGCGAACTCATCATACCAAAAGGGCTAAATCCTAAACTCTAAATTTCATCACCATCAGATGCCAAAAGAAATATGTTTTATAATGATACAGATCATGATAGAATTCACTACAATAAATTGTGTTTAATTTGCAGGCATTGGAAGAAAACAAGCTGTTCATATTAGACTATCATGACATGTTTCTTCCATTTCTCAACCAAATAAATACTTTGGATGACCGAAAAGCTTATGGAACACGTACAATTTTGTTCTTGACCTCATTGGGAACTTTAAAGCCAATTGCTATTGAGCTCAGTCTGCCTCCAACAAAGTTAGGTTCAGCATCCAATAAGCAGGTTCTCACGCCTCCAGTTGATGCTACAGCATATTGGCTTTGGCAAATAGGAAAAGCCCATGTCTGCTCCAATGATGCCGGTGCTCATCAACTAATTCATCATTGGTATGCACAACAATTTCCATAATTCTGGAGGATTGACGTAATCGTAAACATTCATTTAGACTCATCAGATAACTTTCTACTCTGCTACCATTGATTAAATTTTGAATTTTAAAACAGGTTACGCGTTCATGCATGCATGGAACCACTCATAATAGCAGCTCATCGCCATTTGAGTGTAATGCACCCAATCTACAAGCTCCTCAAACCTCACATGCGATACACCTTGAAGGTAAATGCATTGGCTCGTCAGGTGCTCATCAACGCTGGAGGCATCATCGAGTCTAATTTCACTCCTGGCAAATATTCCATGGAGTTTAGTTGTGCCGCTTATCGAGATTGGTGGCGCTTTGACCATGAAGGCCTTCCGGCAGATCTCATTAGAAGGTTCGGACGTTATGTTTTATTGCCTAACTTATCCATCTATTATGTTATTAGACTGAATTTAACATCATACTTGGACAAGTTTCACCAAATTAATTATTCGGATTGACAATATGACAACCTAACATATCACATTGTCTTGAAAAAGATACGTAAACTTTTTCTTGAGTTGATATCTTATTAACTTTATTGTCGTCTCTATATGTAGAGGAGTGGCAATACCAGACCCAACTCAATCCCATGGGCTAAGATTACTAATTGAAGACTACCCATATGCAACAGATGGACTCCTCATATGGTCAGCAATTGAGAGATTGGTTCAAACCTATGTGAATTACTACTACCCTGATGCAAGTGTGGTTCAATCAGACACAGAACTCCATGCATGGTACCACGAGTCAATCAATTTAGGGCATGCAGATCTTTCCCATGCAAGCTGGTGGCCAAAACTCTCAACCCCAAATGACCTAATCGCAATTCTCACCACCATAATTTGGATCACAACCGCCCAACATGCTGCCCTAAACTTTGGCCAGTATCCATATGGTGGTTATGTCCCAACTCGCCCACCACACATGAGAAGACTAGTGCCAAATCAGCACGATGATCCCGATGAGTACGCCAATTTCATAAGGGAACCACAGCAATATTTTCTGTCATCACTGCCTAGCTTTTTTGAAGCAACAAAGTATATGGCAGTTATCGATATCATTTCGGCTCACTCGCCCGATGAGGAGTATATTGGGGAAAGGAAGGATTTGTTGTCGACGTGGTCAGCTGACACTGAGATTGTTGAAGCATTTTATAGGTTTTCAATGGAGATGAAGAAAATTGAGAAGGAGATTGAAGGAAGAAATGGTGATTCAAATCTGAGGAACAGATGTGGGGCTGGGGTCTCACCATATGAGCTGCTCATGCCAAGCTCGGAGCCTGGGGTTACATGCAGAGGAGTTCCTAATAGTATAACAATCTGAGGTTAATGTAATCTTCCTTGCACAATACCATAATACTTGCATCCGCATTTGGGGATGCACATATCCTTCCATTTAGAAATAATGTATCTTGATTGAATAAAATCAACGATCAAACCGTCAACTTATTAATATTCATTTGGATATCACTTCTACAAAAATTCATTCGAATTGGAGATCGTTTAATCACTTAAATGTATCAAATAAATGGATGGTTCGTCATAAATATTTTACTTGGTACATACACTGTCAATTTGTTCTATACATTTGAATGACTAAATCATCTCGATATTAATGATTTTATGTAAGGTTGATTTTCATATGAAGATTAAGAAATGGAACGATTCTGATTATGAAATTTATATAGTCAAGATACATTATTCATATGAAGGAATAAGCTCATCCCCAAAAGAGGAATGCAAGTATTATTATCCGACCAAAACAGGGTTAAATTCAAAACAAATAGTTTGGACCCTTTCCTTTTCCAACAAAATTGATTTTTTTTATTTTATTTTATTTTTTGCTAGATAGTAAATTTTTTACCAACAAACTATATGCAAATTGCATAAGAAGAGGCCCAATTACATGAAAAGCACAAAAGAAGATATGGACCCCCAAAACAAAACCCATAAGAAATTTGAGCCTAGAAACAGAAAAACCCTACAATAAACAGAGATTCAGCCATACAAATCAGCAAAAATGATGGAAAAAATGACTCAAACAACTTCTACAAAGCACAACATAGATCAGAACAGCAACCACAACCCAAAGAAAGCTAGTGAGATATGACCAATCAACAAGGTGGTCATTGAAGGCAGAAAACCCACCGAGGACAAATCTATGGGAAATGGTGGTGTGAACATTTGAGCCGGAGCAAAACGCACTTCCCATCCATGGGAGGTGGTGGTGTGAACACCTGCGCCTGAGCTCTACACACCTCCGAGAGAATCGCGTCAAAACGCGTTAAAGGCGAGTGATTGCAGATTTGTAAATATGCGGGGTGAAGGAAAGCCGGAGACAGGTGGGAAGGGTAGGGAGAGGAAGGAATAAAACCATCTAGGTTGGGGATGGGAAATGGAATCGAAATTGAAGGCTTAGGTTTTTGAAATTAATTGATATATATACCCTGAAAACAAAGATTGGTGGAGCAAGTTATATGCCTTCTGGAAGGCCCTAGTGGCAGGTAGCATGATTGTGTGCACTACTATCCTATTTTCATTTGCATTTTGTTTTGTTTGAGCATTCTGAACTTTACCATAGCCGGAGCTACTCCGGAACCAGAATGGTCATTGGCTCATCCTGCTTTTTTTGTGTGGCTATTCTGATATATGTTGCTGTTGCATATCAGTCTGATACCCTTAAAATATGGCAGGTATGTCTCGGCCCGCCCACCATACATGCGGCGATTATTGCCGCAAGAGCATGACCCAGAGTATGCTGCTTTCATAAGGGATCCACAGAAATACTTCCTAGCATCAGTGTCAGGTTTATTTGAAGCAACCAAGTACATGGCTGTAATAGAGATCCTTTCAACGCACTCACCGGATGAGGAGTATATTGGGGGGAGAAAAGACTTCTCAACCTGGTCAGCTGGCATGGTGATCACTGAGGCTTTCTACAGATTTCCAATGAGATGAAGCGGATTGAGAAGTAGATTGAACAAAGAAATGCTGACTCAAACCTTGCGAGCTAAAAACGAGATAGATAATGCGCACAGAAGGAAGATACACGGTTGATCAAATATAAGAGGTTAGAAACTCCACAAATCAAACAACAAAGCAAGAGTGAAGTGGGCAGAACTAGCATTATAGCAGTCCACTACTCCCTTTCACGAGAAGAAGCAGATTTGCAATCCCAAATATTGCAACAAAAACTATAATGTCATCACCGCTTACAACCCCTTTAAGTTCCTATAAATCGAAATTCCGATTTCTACACATTTGAACTGCCGTCAAGATTCAAGATAAACACCCTTACGATCATCAGCTGATGAAGTTCAAGCCTTTAAGGCAATGGTTTGTCACCCAGTCATTATGGTTTAATATAAACAAACACGGGCGACCTGGGCATAGCCAAATTAGCTAGAGCAATGCACGCTCCTACCTCACACAAGTCGGAATCTCCCTCCCCGTTTAGTTTAATGTAGTTTGGTTTGGTTTAGTTTAGTTTGGAATATCGCTCGAATAAAAGAAAGTACGTAAACATAAACGACCACCGAAGGATGATGTGTTTCAACTTTCATTATCCACAAAAGTAAATATCTACAACAAAGATCGCCAAAATTCCACTAACATCCAACCGAACCAATAAGCAAACACCTTTTTCTTTCTTACAAAATAAACAAAAACAAAAAAAACGAAAACAAAACAAAAACAAAAACACCAAGACTCCCAATTTTCCACACTTTCTCAGTAATCGACATATTTACCCATTGATCCACAAGGCAAATTAACAACATATAACAAAACAACACGCCGTAAATTACGAGGAAGAAGAGGGGCTTAGTCGTACTTTTCTCTCCAGGAGAAAATAAGGAAGAAAACCCAAGACGCCGCCAGCACGACGTCGCCGACCGTCTGCCTCAGCCAGTCCCAGGCGAGGTCCTCCACCCGCCGCTCGAAGTAGCACCGCCACAGCGCCATGAAAACATGGAGCAACGTGCACCCCTTGGCGAAGAAGCTCTGGAACTCGCAATCTTTCACGAAGGAGACCATGAGCAGCAGGAAGCCGATCGCGAAGAGGAGGAGGCCAGAGAAGGAGTCGCAGGTCCGAATCAGGAGCTGGTCGTGGGGGGTGGACCCCAGCAGCTTCTGGGCTGTCTGGATCCCGTGCCCGAAGGTGTAGACTTCCGTCATGTAGAACATCATAAGTGCCCCGCAGGATATGGCGATTAGGGAGTGGAGGAGGCAGATGACGAAGAAGGCCGACGACGGCGCCGGCGACGACATTGATCAATCGTACGGCTGTTATTGACTTATCGCGGCGTCGGTGCAGTACGCATCGTCATGATGCTACCAAGAACCCTAGTTTCTGAGAATTGGGGAAGAAGGTGAAGCAGAAAGATAATTAATTGAATTTTTTTTTTTGGGTGGTTCAATTTCTGAATCGGGGAGTAAAATTCAAAAATGTATTCTCGGTTTTCTACTAGTTTTTCGATACGGTGAGATTCCAGGATAAGGGTCCGGTGGGACCCAGAGGACGTCGACAGTCAGCGTGCAGTGGACTAATTTGTCTTGGATGAACACGTGTCGAGATCGTAGCAGTGCCGACAGATTCAGTTGGGACCTACTGATTCCATAAGTTTTCCGCCGTCCGTCAGGGATTTGGATCCTTTACTGAGCTAATGGAGAGGATCATTTGACCAACCATTGTGAGTCGTTAGATTTTTATCTAACGGTTACAAATAGATAATCATTTTAAAGTTATAATAATTATAACCGTTGGATGAAAATCCAACGGTCGACAATGATTGATTAGGAGGATCTCTCAGGAAGCTGCCCTTGTCTCCAAACACAAAAGCAGACACCGTGATCGCGAAACGACGTCGTCTGAAGCTGATGTGGTGGATACCTACCGATTCAATTCCGTTGAGAAAAAGATCAAGAGCTTCTTGTCCCTACTTACCCACCAAAAATACGCGAGCGTAATTGTAATAAAGTGATTCAGAACGTTTAATTATGTTTAATTATGCATATGACGTCTTAATTAAAAAAATTTGGAGGTTCCTTGTTGCGGATAGACCTAGAAATCGTCTACTTTCAATTAAATTTTATAATCAAAATCGTTTTTTCATTCTCACTTGAAGATCATCATTGAAAAACAGACAAATGTAAAATTGATTGGACAATTTAATTACTCAATAACATATCTATGCATGACGTCGTATGCCATCTTACCTTACTAACTGATGTACTCGTGTTCAGTGGCGGATCCAGGAAATAATGTTAGGGGGGTCAATAAGGATAGCGCGCAAATTTTTTTTTAACAGAAACGACATGCATATCGTCATTTCATCGAGTCTTGGTAGAATAGCGCGACCAGCTACTCCAAAATCCTTGTTCAAAAGTCATGAACGTTCAAATCTGGAGGAAGAGATTGCTTCAACTTGTCGGCCTTCTCGGAATCAAACACACAAAGTGTGTAAAGGTACTTGGAGCACCGAACCTTGAACTTGACAGCATCCTTGGTCCTCTTGATTTTGACATTGCGAGCATCCTTCCTTCTTGCAGTTAGAAGGAAATCCTTGATCTCATGGATCTGCTTCGGCATTTTGCTTGTTGCTCGGTCGAGATCGGAGGCTGTGAGTTCTCTCTCAAAGTCCGAGGAGGCTATCAACGCGCCAGCAGCCTCCTTCATCTTCAACTTGCAAGCGAACTCTTTCTTCTTCTTTCAGACATTTCGTCGACCACGTGGTGCAGCTCCAAGAGGTTGCACCAGCAGCTCCAAGAGGTCGCACCAGCAGCTCCAAGAGGTCGCACCAGCAGCTCCAAGGTTATTTCCATGGCTTCCAAGGGGTCGTGTGACCCCATTGACCCCACTGTGGATCCGCCCCTGCTCGTGTTCGATTGACAATAGACAATTTTTTTTCTTTTTTTTCCAGATCAAGAATTGGAGACAAAAAATAAAAAGAGGAAAGTAGATTTTTTTTTTTGTTTCTTTTAACAAACGATAACATTAGTTAGTTAATCATTAGTTGTTAGGAATGGGAGATTCAGTGGAGATTGAATCCGCACCAGGGTTAATTCAGTAACTTTCTTTAACTTTATTGATTTTTCAAATTAAAAGACATGAGTGTGTAGCTACTAGTATATAATTTTGGGTGGGTGTGGGGGGGGGGGAGGGGGGTTACAATGGTAATTGAAAGGGCAAAATGGGTCACTACATATGAGGGGGTTTTGGTAGCAAACCCATATTATTTTTAATTTGGGAAAATTATATTTATATATATACAACAAAAATTGATTAAAATTTGACAATACTCCGAAAGGTAGAAAGAATGAGGAGAAAGCCGCTTTGAAGCAGAGCTAGGACACTCTCATCTTGCACGAAATCCTCCGTCCCCGCCGCCGTGAACGAGTTTCGAAAGGGGGAGGTTTAACGAATGATGTAATTTTCTTGAACAAAACTTTTAACCTGAATCAATGTCTCTACCACCGGCAACAACTTTCCGGTGACGTCTAGAGCCCGGCCTCTTATCTCTCCCGCGCCTTGGAGGCCTCTTAGCTGGGGCGTTTACAACCCTTTCGGGTGAAGTTTCGGTTGATGGTTTAACTGGCGGTTCGTTACTTAAAGCTGGGAGTGAGGGTGAGGGAGGTGGTGGTGGTAATAGCGGTGGTGGAGGAACAGCCTTAGGAAGACGAGGAGCCATGTGCTCCCATACATCTCTATGATATTTCTGTAGACGATGAAAAACATACATAAAATGCATCAAGGAACATAAGAAAAAAGAAAAGTAATTGAACTGCAATTGCACCCGATGACCACCACACATCTCTCCCAGAGGGAAAAAAAGGTGTTTCTTCGGTGTTCTTAATAACGACCATATATCTTCCAACATATGCATGCGTACCTGAACGACAAAATTGCGCCTTTCACAGTCGTAGAACATACTGATAGTCCAGTTTGTCTTTGCCCGAATGTGATCTCTCACTATGGAAAAACTAATTTGATCCCTGGAAGTAAAACGATCAACTTCATGGAACCAAAGACAAGCGGCGAGGTTGCTTATGGGGACATGCTCCCTTAGTATAACACATCCTTCAGGAACGTCTGCAGCAAGGCAAAAACACGAAAACTTAGTAAAGTGAAACATAGACAATATGTTTTAGCATAGTGAAGTTCCACCTACCACTAGTAATGGGAAGCTTTTCCTCAGAATATGGGGTCAAACCTTCCTTTTTGTAAAATTCAACCTGGAAGTCAATAGAGGCATTGTCGTATTTTCCAGCAGCTTTATTTGCCTCAGCTTCCGTAAACACATCAAAGCGTTTATAATGTCTAGAAATTGCAAAAGTTGCATTCTTTCTCCACAAGAACCTGAAATAAATGTTTGTTTTCATGCAAGCGTAAGCATTGATGCTGGGAAACCCGGCTGAATAAAGATAGCACGAAAGAGCAAAGACTCACTGTGGACTGGTTACAATTTGCTTTTCAATCAGATGTTCCATATCCAAACGAAAGGAGTACATAAATGGACGGGATCGTATTCCTAATATAAGTGTCAGAAGACTCAAATATCTTGTCGTGTTTCTACAGATTTCATCCATACTCGAGCATTATTTTGATTTTGTTCACACAAAAGAAAACATAATGTCCCAGAAAAAGCAATACAGAACAGAAAGTTTAGCCATATATGACTAGAGTCAGACTAGTCAACAACGTGTGGGTCAAAATATATGGAAGAGCAAACATAAAGGAAAGTGAAATAGGGGAAGCAGCTTTTAGGACTCAAGGCACTGGTTTTGTAAGTTGAGAAGCATATGATAATTCATCAACGTGCCACAGTCAGACGTGGTTGTAAGATGCAAAATTACATCAGAAAGAGGTAACTAGGAAATTGAACAAAAGATATCATGTAGAAAATGCACTTGTTTGGCAACATTACTATGATGGTTAGTATTTTGCATCTGGGCGTTTGGATGTTTCTTCTAAGAAAACTTGGCCAAAATTTTGAATGAGATACTGATGATATTCCAAACTCAGTAATTTCCGAAAAACAAAATTACGTAGACCTATTTATCATAATACTAAGCTTAAGCTATAAAAAAATTTTGTTTTGGTAAAAAAAAATAACCTATAAATAAATTGATCTAAGGCTAGATGTGTGTGAAAATTTCAATCAGATATACCTTTCAAGAATTTGATATGGATCCACGACAAGTTCAAGTTTCCCATCAATCCATAAAGAAAAGCGGGCATTAGGAAACATCCTATGCACTAGAAGCTTGGGAATCTGCAAAAGATGTAATCTGCGTCAAAGTTATGTCAAGGTAAAACACTTGTATATAAAACACAGCATTCGGCAAAGAAAGCCCCATTATCCTAGTGACACATTTAAATGCATGGAAACAAAACCATTCACACTAAACTCATTTGCTCCTTTTAGAGAGCTTAAATGATATCTTATATGTTCCCAAATCATTATACTGTTCACTTGTGATCAAATTTTGCACAACATGATAAACACCTGTCTATGGATTTTCATAACCAAAGAGCCAAATTTAAGAAACTATAACCAAGACAACTCCGCTCTAGAGTTGAAAAATTTTGCTTGCAAAATAGTAGAAATCTTACCTTCCCAGTGCGCCTTCCATCTGTGTAAGGAGGATTATGCACAACCACAGTTCTCCATATACCAACTTTACGATCGCTGCCCATTTTTCCAGATGTCCTCAAGTAAGCTTCTGTCACATTATCTATAAACATATAGAAGCAAACGGTCTCCTTGGAATAATCACTAATGTTCCTTGGCTGGTTTATCTCATCAAAATTTCCTGATGAAAACAAAATTCAATTGATAAGGATCCACCATCTATATCTAATAAAAAGTTGAACTGAAATTATACTGCATATTACCGAATATAGCCGATGCAACAACCACTCCATTACACTGCTCCATATCATTTAGGTCAACCTCATCCATATCATATCCTGTATTCCGCCCAGGTTTACTTCCTCTAACAAATCTGATTGATGCTCAAATCCGTCAAGCAAAATGCACAATAAACTTAAATGAGTGAAGAGCCAATAGAAGCTCATAATTACAAGACTACCTAATTCAAAAAAAGAAAAAACAGGTATGAAAAAATAATATTAGAAAATGTGACGAAGGGAAAGCAAAAAGGGAGAAACATACCCGCAGTGCACACTCATTGACTCTCTTATATCATAAGAATCATTCCTTTGCTTCAATGTAGGGTATCCACCAAAATCTGAGCCTCCAAATTCTGTGTCTCTTGATAAATTCTCTTCATAAATGTATGTTAAATTCTTAAGAACCGGAGAATATGAAGGGACCTTCGGCATCAAGGCTATGGCTTCTTCCACAGGAAGGTAACATACTGGACAAGCTGAAACATAAAGAAGGAAGAAACTCAGCAACATCACAGGAGTTGCTAACTTATCTTAGTGCCAAATATTCTTGCCATCTTTCATTTTAAAAGAGCGTAATGCAGAACATTTTTCGAGAGAAGAGGAAGAGAGAGAGAACGATAAATCTGGAATAACCAAAAACAAATATCAAAGAAAATGTAGAAACTTACGCCGTGGTCCAGTTCTTTTTTTATCTGCTGGTGGGGGAGGCAAAGTGAATGTATTACATGGATGCCCAGGAGGAAGAGTGTAACCCAGAAAAACAGCAGGAGGAGGAGGGGGCAACGCCAGCAGAAAAGTCATGTTGATACTTTGAGCTCCATGTTGTCGTGAGGATTCAGAAAAACTTAAAGGGATGCTGTTGTTAACACTAATGTTTCCGACATTGACAACATCTTGTCCATCTTCACCTATAGATGAGCAGATAAGCATAATTACTTCCTTAAGCAAATCAAAGAGGTAATTTTGAGCTCAGATACACGGATATCAAGCTAAATACATACATAAAGCCCAGGTTTATCAAGTAAACATCTTTCAGTCTAAGAAACGAACTTAGTACTAAAAATTTCAACTAGAAGAAGATTTTAATACCACCAGATAGGGAAGCCGACACTAATGCAGATGAAATTCATTCTACACTGTCACTACTAGAAGCATCTCTTGAACAAAATGGTAATCTAGTAATTCTCCCAGCATGATTCACAAAAGCCGTGCGAAATGCATTGCTCAAGTTTAATTAATGTGCTAACACTAATCGTTTACTCTCAATTAAACTAGCATTCAACCCAATTCTCTTCCCCAGCTTCAAAATCGAATTCAATCAACTAAATTACTCTGAAGAATCAGTTCTATCAAAATCAGCTAGTATCAACTCAAACAATCAATACCCCCACATCAACACACACAACTAAAACAGAACCAAATTAAATTCATAAAAATCAAACATGCACAGGAACACGAATACCGAACCTTTTCCAACGTACAAAACCCAGACGAAAACTGCGGCGGAGATGAGGCAGAGCAGCAGCATTCCAACCTTCTTCCGGCCGGCAAACTTGAAGATCCAATGGAACAACCTATCCTTCTCCTTGAGCATTTTCGACGGCTTCCTTGCAGATTGGATTGGCAACACTCCGTTGATGCTGTTGATGTTGTTGTTCTGTAGCTGTTTATCCAAAGACCCATAACTCCCTGAGCGAATCCCCAATGACCCTCCAGTCATTGTTGATTCAAACCTTCATGTGCCCCTCTCATCTCCCTCTTCCTCCCAATCCCAACCC